ATGCCCCATGACCTGCCAGTCATGCTGGTGTGACCACCATTACAGGTATCCTAACCCAATCATTAGTAACAGTTGCCGTAATACAAATATTACATAGGTGATTATCCAAATTTTCACTGTTGATAGGATTTGAACATCCAACCTACCACTTGTGGGGTTGACAACCTGACCACTTCACTAGGTCGCCACACCCTTACTTTATCTTTTATTATATAAGTTAATATAAATAGTATTTAATTTTTAAAAAATTTTAATTCACATACAACTTTTTCCAACAATTCCTTACACCAACTTTTTTTCAAAAGTCTGATCTACGAAAACTATATAGTTATTATATTTAAATATAACAAAACTCTACTTTGAATAACTAGGAAGGCTATTCACTGCATGTTTGGTTGTAACTAAAAAGAGCTGAAAAAGATTTGAATCCTTATAAGCGAAGTCTTTTGGTAAAACATGAGTACTACTAAGTAAAGAAATAGTAGATAAGCTCTGGAGCTTTGTCAAGTGCTATAAGGGCTTAGGTCTAAATAGTTACTTGGTTTAATATAATATTCTATATAGTGTAACTCTTACAACTCCTTTTCAAGTTGGCTCTTCTTTCCGCCCTCACTACTGGATTTTTTTTTCGTAATTTTTACTAAAAAGTGGAAAATCTGGCATATCTCCTTCAAAGGATCGACATTGTTTATCTTTCCAAATCAGTAACGTTAGTTATGAGAAAACCATAAGATAAGTATCAGACCTATGATGGATGATATATGTCAAACTTAAGAGAAAAATAAAAACTTTAACCATTCTTTCTATATGATAAATGGAATATATTATAATACAGAGATAAAGCAAATATAGGGTATTTTTTATTTAGTATTATACAGAATTTTTAAAGCCTGATACAGGCAAAAATAGTGCCTTCATGTTTTTTGTTTTTTCTTTATTCTTCTTTTTTATCTTTTTCTTTTTTCTTTTGGTTTATGTTTAGGATTTGTAGTTAGTTCCCTATTTTTTTACTTCCTTTTAGTTTTTCTTTCTTATATTCTGTTGTTCTTTAGGCAAGGATTATAGAATCCTCTTGCTCGATAATTAAAGAAAAAAAAAAACAAATTGAAGATAAAACTAGGAAGACAATTTTGAAGTTTATCATAAAAGGAGGAAGATCTTTTTATTATGGACTTTAAGTAGTCAGATGAGCAGTTTACTTCTGCTTAAAGTAATGTGACAGATTGCACTTAGGCACCATTAGGGTGGCCAGATGATGCTAGACTTAGTTGTTAGGTAGATCTATATAATTGTAGCAATTGCAAGAATCTTAATAAAGTACTAGCATGACTGTCTATAGTTAAAAAAAAAAAAAATTTCATAATATGAATTTTTAAATACTTATAAAAATCTTTTAAAAGTGAGTTTTATATAAATATTAAAATGATTGAAGAACTAACTTGTAGCTTCAGAAATTTATAAACTTTTACAAAGTAACAATGTAAAAAACTAAAGGTTATACTATTAAAAGCATTTATTATATCTTTTTAAAATAGTTTTACTGTATTTACAGTTATGTTATAAAACTAAAACAAGTAAAAAATATAACTGTTAATTGTGCAAATAGCTTAAATAATAACATTATAAGTACACAAATAAGAGATATAAATTGCTCAGTAATATTGAAAGTTTAGCTATTTAAAAGAGACAATTTTTATTTATACATTGTTAATTTATTTTTTTATTATAGTTATTTTCTTTAATCAAGTCATATTACAAGCTTTTATTCAGTATTAGAAAAAATCAAAAATAATATTATTAAGCTTTTTAATATGAGGCATAGTTCTAACAGCACTTACTATATTTATTGAGAACAAATGCAATTAGAATATAAAAATAATAAAGAAATACTAGCTAACAAAACATTATTTTTCTGCAAAAATAATATCAAATATCTTTATAAAAAATATTATAAAAAGCATATAGATGCTTAAAATAGAAGTAATATATTTAGTTGATTAGAAAAAGAAATTATAAAATTTAATGTTAACAAAAAAAAATTGCATAGATAAAAAAATATATTTCATTAGGCCAAGATAACCCAAAACAATCCTTTATTCTGGTTGTAATAACAAACTTATAATTGTTATAAGTTACAAAAAGAAAGTAAATTAGTATATATAAATATAATAATTAAACTCAATATTCTAAATACTTCTTTTATAATTTATTTTATCAGGCACTTGCTAGTAGTTTCTTATTCACTATAATTCTTACATCTGAAGAAACAGCAACTACTTTTACAAAAGCATTAAATATAATAAAAAATATAGTTTTATTAGCAGCATTCAATAGATGAGAACCTATTATTGAATCACAAATAGTTATAATAAATGATTGTAAATAAAAACAGCAACTATTTTTTATTATAAATTAAAAACAGATAATGATTATATGCTTAAACACTTCTTTTTCTCCTTTCATTTTATCATTTCTTTTCTTTCTTCTTTCTTTCTACTATTTATTTTCACCTTCTTCCTTTTTACTGTTCTTTTTTTCTTTTCTTTTTTCTTTTTTTTTCTTTTTTTTATTATTTCTTTTTTTCTTTCTTACTTACTATCTTTCCTTCCTTTTTTTCCTTTTCACTATTTTTACCTTTTTCTTCTTTCTTCTTACTATCCTTTTCTTTTTCTTCTTACCATCTCCATCTTCTTTTTTATTATTCTTTTCTCTCACCTTCTTTCTTTTTACCATTCTCTCCTTTTCTCTTTTCCTTTTTCATTATTTTCCTTTCCTTCTTCTTTCTTTCCATCATTTTTCTTTTTTTCTTTCTCTCTTTTTACTATTTTTCCTTTTCACTATTCTTCTTTTTGCTATCTTTACTTCTTACTATTTCCACTTCTCATCATTCTTACTTTCTACCATTCCCACTTTTTATTATTCACACCTCTTACCATTTCTACTTTCCACCATCTCCTCTTTTTCTCCTTCCTTCTCATTATCATCTCTTTTCCTTTTTTCTTCTCATCATCTTCTCTTTCCTTTCTCTCTTCCTACCATCCTTACTTTCTACTATTCTCATTTTTTACTATCCTTACTTCTCACCATTTTCACTTCTTACCATTCCTACTTCTTACCATTCCTACTTCTTACCATCTCCTCTTTTTCTCCTTCCTTCTCATTATTCCTTCTTTTTCCTTCTCTCTTCCCACCATTTCCTCTTTCCCTTCTCTCTTTTCACCATTTTCCCTTTTCCTCCTTCCTTTTTACCATTTCTTCTTCCTTCCCACCATCCTTCTCTTCCTTTTCTTTCTTCCCACCATCCCCCCTCCTTTTTCCTTCCAACCATCCCTTTTTCCCCTCCTCCCTTCCCACCATCCCTTTTCCCCCCTCCTCCCTTCCCACTCCCAAGTCCAAAAGTGATGTTAACCAAAAATTCAAGTTCAAGCGGCATAACATACAGGTTAATGATTTGAACAGTGGGTGAATTCGTGCTTTAGCAGCAACTTCAATGGTGGATGTTCATCGTTTTAGCAGTGACTTCGACGGTGTATGGATTCATGAGTGAAGAATAAGTAAGATGTAACTACCATAGTCACGCCGACCAATCGAGTATAGATTTTAGGACCGTACATCTATTTTTTAGACTATACTGTTACATTTTGCTGTTAGCGGCTTAATACATTAGGTATGTAATTACGCACATTCACTAAATTACATAACTTTTTTATAATCTTTTTATGTAACGGTAATAACAAAAAAATGCAGATGCGACAGTTTCAGTTTCAATTTCAACATCAGCCGCCGATCTTTATGTATAAAAAACCATATATTACCTAGCTATAAGGATAAATGTAACGTTCATGTAAATGCCAGAACAAGCGTCGAGGATTTTAGTGAATTTTGACACAATATTTTTAGCTGAATTTAAACAATTCATCAAAGACCTCGAATATCTGAATAGGTGCGTGTAAGTGTCCCATCCACCTACACAGTTACGGTTTTAAAGTTTCATGAAAGTCTAAACCGGCACAAACAAACTCAACACGTGCAGAGACATGTACACACAGACAGAATCAACAAGAAAACAAAAAACTAATTAACCAATTACGGAAAGCATCCAATTTTGGGAACGTGAAAAAATTAATAGACCACTTGATGTGGAAAGTAACTAACTATTCATACGAACGTCAACGTTAAAGATAAACCTTAAGATCTATTTGTAATTGATTATATAATTTTTTAATTCTGGCACTTTTAAATAGGGATTAGAACCGTTTAACGTTAACCGTTTAAAAATTGCTCCATAGTTCCGGGCAGAATTATGTTGGTCGTGGGCCGGAATTATTTTAATGCTGGCCAAATTAAACGGTTAAATGGGTTAAAGGATTAAGAAAATTTTTAGCCGGCTCCAATCCCTACTTTGAAATAATAATAGATGTGTTTTCACACAAAGCAGAGTAATATGTGAGTCAAAATAAAAACTATCTATGCATTGTAGGGTATTCGGAGTCGCATCGGTTTTCGAAATGGAGTTTATCACAATATATATTAAGACCAGTAAAAGTTATAACTAGGGATGGACAAGACCGAGTCAGTCCAGTCTCGGTTGGTCCTTAATTATTTAGACCTCTAAACATCTTATTGGCTAACGGAGAAAATCAAATCGTTGCTAACAAAATGACCCTCCGAACTATTGTTACACGAGATTTTTTTAAAAAGACCATAGCAAAGATCCCATATGACGTCGTGAAAATGGAAGATTATGTAACATATTAAGGCTAGTTTTGTCCTGGACCAGGGGTTTAGGTTCTTATCCTAGACCCCAATTGATGATCACTATTTTAAAATTTTTATTTATATAGAAGGTTTAGGGTAAGGAATCTAAACCCACCGGTCTATTTTAAGGACGCTCATTTTTTAATTAGCTATTTTGATCCATCCCTAGTTATACGGTTAAAAATTAAACGATTACAACTTGTACAAATCAGTAAGAACAAGGGACGGAACTTCTGATTATGCTCGCCATAATCGAGCTAAGCTTAATTATTTTGAACAAATACATTATCTAATATCGCAAAATGAAAATCCTTCCAATTTATTAAAAAAGAATTGGAAAGACTTTATCCAATTTTTTTTATATACCAAGTTTTATCTTTTAAGCTTTAAATCCAGGTACACTTCAACAAAGATCCAATTTATCTAGTATTAGAAATCTTTCCAGAATCATTGGGATCTTTAGTCTTGTCAGTTTGTATAAAACATTTTTCAATTCTTTCAATATGATACTATATTTAACATTTAGGAATTTCAATAATATACACAAAATAATGGTAATACAGTAATAAACAATATGTTATAATAAAACCGAATACGTACAAGTTTACGTCTAATGGCCCAAAAATTCCTAATCAACTTCATTCTGTCATTAATAGAATCAATACCCAAAGCTTTTAAATCTTTATAGTCCATATCGATAATCTCTCGCCATTTCTTATCCTTAAACGCGGGTGAATACTGTTCCATGCCAATAGTTTTAAGATGTGCAGAGAAGTCTAATAATTTAATTAATAATTAATAAAGTTATACATAATAAGCGATTAATTGAAAATATATCAAAGGAATCTCATATAACATTAAATAAGTAAATAATAAGTAAATGTATTATAATATACACCATCCAGTGATTTCAAATCAACATCAACTCTATCTTTACCACCCTTAAACGGTAGCTTTTTTCCTTCTTTGATTGCCTACATTATTTGATAGATCGAACAAAATGAGCAATCCTACAAAGATCTTTTGTAATAATATAACGCCAATTAAACTTTTCTGTTAAATAATATAAAGCAAACTCACAAGGTCACATCTTATAATCCAAAAACATGAACCTAACCTCCAAGCTGATTCCATATCTTTAACGCCCATTATCGTTAATTCATAACGACTCATTTTTATAATATCTTGCCATATCATTCCCTCAAACACAGAAGAATATCTAAGCATTCCAAAACCATCTAACCAACCAGTGAAATCTTTTTAACAAAAAAGAAAAAAAGGTTAATATAATAGATAATTAAAATCACAAAGATGATAAATAGTAATATTTACATTTATTCACAAATAAATTTAATAAAGTATAATTTAAAAAATAAACATGCCTTCCAATAACTTATAATTAACGCGATCATATAAATTATCCCTCATCCACTTAATACGATTATATAAACATACTTCGGCCATTTCTGGAGTATATGGGCGACTACGCCTATGATGAGTAAAATCGAGTTTCGTATTGTTTTCATTTATAGTATTATTGGTACTTTCAGTAGTTAAACTACGAGTAAATGAAGAGTTAATGGATTTAATAAGTGCTGCATTCGAGAATTGAATATTTGTAAGTGATCTCGCTAAAATTATTTTTGTTATAGTTTGCTTTATTCTGACTACACTAGTGTCACCAACATTGAAAAATTTAGCTCTCGCTACATTAAAAACAAATCTCATTGATGCCATTTTTCCTTGTAATGATAAAGCTAATACGTATTGAAATCTTATCGTTATCAATAAAAAATCTGTTAGGAGGAAATTCGTCTGATTGACTAGTTTATGCCGATCATTTGTAGATCACTATCGAATGGCTCGGCTCAGCTCCAGGTCTACTAATAAAGCATCGACTCTAAAAACAGCTTGGCTCAAAGCTTTGGAGCCGCGAGCCGATAGGTTTATATCAAATGATGGTTATATTAAATTTACTATATAATTCAATTGCTTAGAGTTGAGAATTATAAAAAGTCTATATCTTAGAGGAACGGTTCAGCTCAGCTTGAGGGCGATAAGCTTGTAAACGGTTCAGCTCTGAATGATGAGCTGAAAGATTAGCTTAGCTTGATCAGTGTTAGCCATGAGTTGAGCCGAGTTGAGTCGAGTTGAGTCATACGCATCACTTCGTGATTTTGTAAAGTGACCGATCGAATTCTCTAGCCTTTAAAGTAATTTTAAAATCAAATTTTAAATAAAATATTAAATTATACGTATTTTTACAAATATAAAATTAAATAATTAATTTAAAAAATTGTAACAGAGACATTTTCACTTCGTTACGATCGAAAAAGCGGAAAAGTTTCTTCAATTATTGAGTACCCGTCCACATAAAATATATAATTAAAAAAAAATTATAACAGAAGAAACTTTTAAATTAGTTGGGGTATTTTCACTTCGTTATCAAAAAAGCAAATAAGGTTCTTCAATTATTGGGTACCCGTCCACATAATATTACATCGGACAAAAATAAAATTTTTACTTCACCTAGTAACCTTACACTAACATTAACTTTTTTTATTCTAACACAACATGGAAGAATTCCTTTTAACGAGAGAACCCCTCGATATCGTCAGAATTTCTACGGCATAGTTTGTACGAGTAGGGCAGGTGAATATTATTACTTCCCACATAGTAGTAACTAGTTTTATACCATATATTATCAAATGTTTTGCCGGCACTTGAGACTAATCTGCTCTAGTGAAATAGTAGTAACAGGTTCAACCCCAAAAAATTCATAGAATAGAGATTCGATACATGTATTTTATTAAGTTATATTACAACTATTTTCATTATTTTTGGAACATCAAAAATTGATCGAATGATTATTTGTCGATTCGATAAGTTTTTGATTTTGGCAATGATAAAATTCGTAATTAATAATATATCAATAGTTTTTGCAATTGTATTTTGAATGATACTACAATGTCAACGCATCCAAAATTAAGGCATCACTTGAACATATGTCCAGTAATGCTTGGTGAAAAACATAAAAAAGGTTTCGAATATAAGACAAGCTTTCATAATAAATACAATACACGAGCAGATGCTAATAAAAAAAAGTTCAATATGAACGAGAAATGATTACTGGTTTAAAAAATATATATAATACAAGTTATTATTCTAAACAACCAAGATTAAGGTAAATTCAAAAAAAAAAAAAAAAAAACAACCAAGATTTTATTAAGGTTCGTCGAAACCGCATTAAGAATTATAATCAAAATAAATATTTTATTTAGAAGTTTTAAATATAAGTCAAAAAGAAAACTAGCAAGAATTAGATGATGGTATTGAAACAATGGATTTGACGGCTAAAGAACCTTTAACTTATTCATCTACAATAAATATTATAAAGACGCTGGTCTTGTCTGAAATAACCGCAGTCAAATGAGTTAAATGTGTAATATTTGATCAACACTAATACCGAAATTAAGCACCTCCCGAAAATAAGCACCCCTGGCCCACACTATGCAGAATTTGGCCTGCATTATACCAATTTTGGCCTGCACTACATGCAAAAAGGAGTGCTTAATTTCGGACCTACACTGGTGATCATAAATAATGCAACAAAAAAAAAAATTTGGTCAGATCGAATTATCTCACGCAATTCCGGGCGTATTTCTTAAATTTTTTTTTTATTTTATTTACAAATACTATCTTTTTTAAATAGCAAAATTTTAATAATCATTATTATTACCAATGCGAAGATAATTGTGAATTTATTACAAATCACATGTTGCATTATTTTTGATCATTTTTGACAAAGATCAGATCATGTGAGTTGTGTCACATAAATACATATAAAAATGGAAGTTTCATTGTTAATTCTGTATCTTGTATAATGTTAAAATTGCTTACAAATTAAAAAAAAAGAACCATACAACTTCTGCCAAACGAGCCCAAATATTGCTTTCTTTTCAAAAAGAGTACATCACAAGAGCAGTAGATCAGGCCTACTATGTTAATTTTTTCATGGTCTCACAAATTAGAAAAAAGTGGTTAACAAACCACACACTTGAAGATTTAGAAAGGGTTAGTTGTTCAACTTTGTTGAATGAACTAACTCAAAGAAGAATAATAAATTTAATTATCTCCTATGACTGCTTTACTGTCATTAAAGTGAGAAGCTACCTCAAAATAAATGAAGATATTGAAATTTTGGTGTCTACTAGTTGCCAGATACTTCAAAACCATGGTTTAGTATTAGAAGTAAAAAAAAAATTTCTACCTGAGTAATAGTCATCGAAAAATGCGACTCGCTTTTGCAAAAAAATATGAAAAATAGATTGTTGAAGATTGGTCTAAGGTAATTTGATCAAATGAGTCAAAGTTTCAAATTTTTGGATCAGATGGTAAGCAGTACTATTGAAAGCATTATGGAGAATTATTAAATCAGTTCCATGTTAAGCCTATTATGAAATATGATAGCAGATCAATTATGATTTGGAGTTGCTTTACCTCTCATAATGTTAGCAGCTATTATAAGATTGATGGTACGATGAATTCAGATTTGTATCTAAAAATACTCTATGAAGATTTGATGTAGATGATTGAGAATCATAAATTTGAAGTTAGAGAAATTGTTTTTCAATAAGATGAAGTATCTTGTTATACAGCAACCTTGACCAAACATTGGCTTACAAGGAAGAAGATAAAGTTTTTTGACTGGCCTCTCTAATTGGCCAATCTAAACCTGATCGAACATTTGTAAGATGAAGTTGATTATCAACTTAGAGACCTCTCTAGTCAAATTTCAAGTGAAAAAGATCTCTAGAAAAAAATTCATATGATTTGGCAGACAATCGATATTGAAACCTGTATGAGGATAATTTGTTTAATGCTAGAATGAATCTATGATATAATTAGAGCCCAGGACAACTACACCAGATAGTAATAGCTAAAAATTATTAGAAAAAAAAATTTTTTTTTTTATATAAAAAAATTTTTTTTATTTTATAATTGTATTGCTGTTAAAACAAGCAAAAATAATGTAATATATATATTGAAATAAAGCTTGTGCTCCAAAAAAATTTTAATCATTAAATTTTTAAATCTTTTTTATTAATAACAATATTGCTATTTGTGAATAAAATAAAAAAAATTTTAAGAAATATATCTAGAATTGCATAAGATAATTTGATCTGACCAAATTTTTTTTTTGTTATATTATTTATGATCATCAATTTATACAGTATTGTAAAGTACAATACTTATAAGTTTTTCATGTACAGTACTTACACCATTATTGTTATTAGCAAAGATATATATATTATTTAATCAATCATTACTGAAATCAAAACTTCTCAAATCGGCCAAACAATTATTCATTATTTTTTTTACAAAAATAATGAAAATAATTGTAATAAAGTGAATGCACTGGATAATAAAACTTTTCTTGAACAAATTCCAGTGAACTGAGTTCACCTAAAATCACTTGATTTTTTATTTTTAAATATTAATATATAAATTTTATTAAAAGTATCTATTATATAAAATAATAACAATATTTTAACTTAAGATATAAATTAATATAAATTAATAATACTAGCAAATTGCCTTAAAATATATATTCTATAGATTCTAAATATAAATTTAAACATATTAAAGATTTAAATAACAGATTATTAATTAAAAGATTATAAAGCTAAATATTTGAAAACATCAATAAACATTAATTTAGAAATTGTATAAAAATAACAAAAAATAAAAAATATAAAAATATATAATAACTAAATATAGTATAATTTTAAAGCAAAAATCCAAATAGAAAGTATATAGAATATAAAAAATCTGATGCAAATTGGTAAACTTTGTAATACTAATCTGTGATCAAAAAGATCAAATCCCAAAAAACATAAGTAGTCTACAGATATTAGCTATGAAATCTCAGAATAGAATAATAGTTAGGAAAATAAATACTAGAAAGTACAATATACAGAATAATATTATTATGTCTGTAATACACATACCTAATAAAGTTTTAACTAGTGTCATTCACTTTTTAAAAATAAAAAATAGTTCTAGTTCATTTTATTAACAATATAATTTACTGACAATACATTTCACTGACAAGTTTTTTTTTTTATAAATTACACTAACCTTAATTCTAATTTTAACCTGATCCTAATAGCAATAACCAGAATTACTTTGTCTGTAAAATGAACTTGTTGATGAATTGACTTTGAAGTCTCAATTTGAAGATATGTATAAGTCTTGCTAAAATCTATATATACATTTTGTTTATTAATTCTAGCCCAAATTCTAATTTAATCCTAAAAAAAATGGCTAATAATTTTTGAAGTTTCATACAAAAATAAGTCCAAATTTCAGTATCAGCTGTGACAATAATTAAAATATAATGATATATATTATTATATGCACTGCCTTTAGTACTCCATATTTTAGTGCTCTATCTTAAATAATACCTAAATACATTACAAAAAAAACTCTCGAAAAAATTGTATAAGGTCTGGGTATTAATATTTAATGGATTTATTTAAAATTATTAAATAGGCTTGGTGCTACAGAAAAGAGGAAATTTGACAAAAAAAAAGATCTTTAGAAAATCAATTTTTATGTTATAAATTTTATAATAAATTATAAGAAAATCCAAATTTCAAAAAGCTATTCTGCAAGATTTTATTAAGACAATTGTTTTTGTGTTTTAAGTGAAAAATAATTCTGATCTTATTCTA